CAACTTTTTTGACAAAATTATGATTATTTTCGAAAAATGTAATCCATTATTTGAAAAAAAGCAATTTTCATGAATGATAAACAATTTTGAATCATGGAAAACAACTGAATGCATGACAGGTAGTTAATTCTAATACTTATTATTTTTGAGCTTGTATTCTTTGCAGTGCTTAATTAACTAATTTTAATTATGTTCAGTAAATTTCATTTCATATTTTTAACATTTTTTTTTCTATTGAGTTGACGATTTGAATTTATTTTTACAAACAAAATTCTTGCCCTTTTTACAAACAAAATACTTACAATACAAGAAATCTCCAACACCGGAGAACCGAAATATCTATACCGAAATAAGGAACCGGACTAATAATAGAGTACGAGAAATTAAAGAAGAATATTGGCAGCGATTTAGTAGCGAAATGGAGGCGGATATGTACGGAGCACAAAAACGTATTTGGAAGATGTTGAGGGGTTTAAAACGAGAAACAAATGAAACAATACAACTAAGAACAATTGTACAAGATACGTGGGAAAAATATTTCAGAGACTTATACGCAGAAACAGATGGACCAATGGAAGCACAAGAGACAAGCCAAAGAGATAATACAGAAGATCATGCGCAAATCACTTTCAAGCAAGTAGAAGAGACAATAAGGAAACTTAAAAATAGAAAATCTCCTAATCAAGATAAAATACCAAACGAGCTAATAAAAAACGCAGGCACGGCTATCAAAGAGGAATACACAAAACTGTTTAACATTATATTACAACATAAGGAAATACCAGAAGAATGGAAACAAAATATAACAATACCCATTTTTAAAAAGGGAGATAAAACAGACCCAGCAAACTATAGAGGAATAACATTACTGAGCACCTTGCTAAAACTTCTGACTAAGATTATTGCAGACAAAATCTCCTCAATAGTGCCAATAAGCGAGGAACAACAAGGATTCCGAAGAAACCGATCAACTACCGATGCACTATACATACTCAGGCAACTAGTTGAAAAATCCTTAGAATATAACTCTCCAGCCTATCTATATTTTATAGATTTAACAAAGGCCTTTGATAGAGTCCAACTAAAAGGCATCATCACCATCTTGGAAAGCAGTAATGTTTCGAAAGAACTCACAGAACATATCAAGGACTTAAACACAAACACAACAACCCAAATAAGAACAAACTTTACCTTAACGCAGCATCTTCGAACTACAACTGGTATTCGCCAAGGCGACAGCCTCAGCCCTCTGTTATTCAACACAATCATGGATCAAGTAATAAAAACCGTCAAGAATACTGGATTAGGATATCGAATGGGAATGCATAAAGTAAACATATTATGCTATGCCGATAACGCAGTACTTATTGCAGAGTCAGAGGACGACCTCCAAAGAATGCTACAAGCTTTTAACAGACAGGCAGAAAAACTTAACATGCAAATTTCCACAAATAAGACCAAATGCATGACCATTACAAAGGAGCCTCTACGGTGCAAATTGGTAATAAAAAACAAAACTATTGATCAGATAATGTCATTCGAATACCTCGGATGCAAAATTACAAGCTCAGGATTCCTGGAAGAAGAAGTAAGGAAACAAGCCAATAAAACTGCCGCAATATCAGGACATCTTAAATATCCCATATGGAAAAACAAACATTTGAATACAGAATGTAAGTCAAGAATATACAAAACCTGCATACGACCAGTGATGACATATGGTGCGGAAACCAGAGCTGAAACATCAGTAACAAAGAGAATCCTACGAACTACTGAAATGAAGACCGTAGGAATGATAACTGGATACCCATTGAGGGACAGACAGAGAAATGTAGACATAAGAGAAAAGTGCCAAACAAACGACGTTGTCAGATGGATAAGGCAGAGCAGAAGAGAATGGAACAAGCATGTCAATAGAATGGGCCCCGACAGAATGGCCATAATAATTCGCAACAACGTACCCCATGGCAGAAGACCTACTGGACGACCGAAACTTTTAAAAAATAAACTCACTTCTCATATATTTTAGGAACCGTATTTGATTAATATATGGGGTGCCTATGTTTTGATAAGGGCTATAACATTTGACTTTCACAAAAATCAAGAAAAAATACGGGAAAGTTACCCTATCCCTTCGTAAATTTTAGTAGAAATATTTTTGAAGTCCACCGACATGTATGTTCGATACTATGAAAAGTTCTAATAATTTCTGGAGGACAATATGTGTACATGAAGGAAAATATCTAATTTTGCCAAATAGAATTTATTTTTTGTAAGTGAACTTCTGTGAAATAAAAATATGAATTGGAAATTTTAAAATTATTAAAAGAACGGGTTATAAAATACCAAGAAAATTCGTAACTAACCGAATTTTATAAGGCACTGCTCATCTAATATGATAAATTTGAATGGTAGGTTGTAAAAAAGGTCTCCAGGACACATACCTGTAGTCGTTATGTGTAAGAAACTACATACAGCACACTTGTTTGTGGTATATTTGAATTGCGTACTTCTTGGAAGAATAATTTTTATTAGATAAGATCTTGAACGGTAAAATAAAGATGAGTCAACGATCGTGTACCTACTTATCCTTTTATTGTTGTGAGTTCCTTTAGAGTGATGACATTTTTATTAAAATAATTTAATTAGCTCTCGATTTTTTTAAATTATTTTCTTCTTTAAGAGTAAAAAGTTTGATAAAGATATTTGATTTTCATATAAAAATTCAACCTTTATTTAATATTAAAATTTAATTAACAAATAATAACATTTAATTATTTCTTATTTTATTTTTATTAATACAATTTCTTTAATTTATTTAGAGTTTATTTCCAAAATCCTGTTACTAAAGTCCCTTTAGGTAGAATGTAATAAGATTTGGGACTGGTCTGGTTTAGAACGCTAACATTTTCATGGTAATTATGCGAGATATAAAAGAAAATTTCTTTGAGTGAAATAATTAGAAACGGTAAAAAAGTTACGTAAAGAATTTTGTGATGGTTTATATCGTTTAAAGGGGTTCAGGAAATTAAAACAAGAATATCATCAAAAGAGCAAATTAAATTAATATTGTAAACGGTATTTACACGTAGTTAAGCCATTGTTCATAACAATTATATACCGTTTGTTGCCTCGCCCGACCTGGACATAGGAAATCCCGTCTAAATTTTAAAAATGATGAATAAGTTTTGCCCATTTTATTTTACAGGAAAATGTATTTGAAACTTTTTAAAGAACTCCTCAAAATGAAGCAAATTTTTCACTTTGAATTGAAGATTATAAAATACTAAATTAAGCAAAAATTTAAAATAATCCGGTCCTGATAAAAAAATTGCGTTTGAGTGACTTTGGCGCCCTCTAACTTTGTCCCCGTAGGTTTTAGAGGTTTGTTACTTAAGATGAAAGTGTGGAGAATTTAATTATCTTCATTTTTTGTTTCATAAAACTTTCTGTGGGACCTACGGTTCAGCCCGAGGTTCAGCCAGAAAATAGAATCCAATTTTTTTTTGAGTTTCTCAAAAACGGGGCGGTGGGGGGATACGAATTTTCGAATTTAAGGTTTTCCAGTGGACCACTTGCGACTGGTAAAGTATGAGAGCGGGGGTAATTTGATGAGAGTTAAAGTGCCAGATTGACTGTACTATTTTTTTAAGAAATGAATCCCCCACAAAGGTATAGACATTATTCTTAATATCTTAGGACGACTAATAGGATGCTTTGTTTTTTGTATTAGAAAAAAAGTATTCTATTAGTCAATATATTAACGTATATGTACAGACCGGACCACCGTAGTAGTAACATAGGCAGAACCGGACGAATTAGCGTATACCCGTCCGCCGGATAAAAAGCAGGCGAAAAAATTCGATAAAATAAAAATAGGTAGATATGTGATAAGAATGTTTCAGAATTCGTATTTATTCGTGTTTTAATAGCCTAAACGAATACATAGATTCCCGCGACAGTTCTCGTGTAAAATTTATTTTTTAGGTAAAATAATGAATGTTTACGAAGTTCGTGAGCAAATTCAAATTGTAAAATGGTATTTCCAAAATAGGTCTTATCGGAATATACAAACAATTTTTCGACAAACTTTTGTAAACATGCCAATTCCATCTTTACCTACTGTATCAAGAGTTATTAATAATTTTGAAACACATGAGTGCGTGTTCCCACAAAAACATAAAAAGCCTGATGTGTTGACTAATGAAGAACAGGAGTTAAAGCAAGTGTTCATTTGTGCTACCGCGGATTAAAATCTCACGTTTTCAAGTAATCAAATTGCTGAGGTGGTTGTCCTGCCCACAATGCCCCTATTGTTCAAGAATATTTGAGCAATACTTTTCCCAACCGTTTAATTAGTGGATATGGAACTATTTTGTAGCCCGCTAGATCACCAGATCTTTCTCCCAATGTCTTATTTTTGTGGGGTTATGTAAAATCCAAAGTGTATGGTCATAATAGGGCTAATAACCTGGATGAGCTTCAAGTAAAAATACGAGAGGATTTCCAAACTATTAGCCCTAATATGTTAACCAATATCAGACAGGGATTTTACGACCGCCTAGGCTTCTGTCTAGCACAAGAAGATGCTTTTGAACACTTGTTGTAACTTTTTCTTATTTAGAGTAATATTTTAGTTTTTTTTTGGGGTTTAGAGAATTTATTTATTTTTAGTTTTGGCTTGTAAACATACTCAAATAATAAATATTTCAGTATTTTCATTTCAAATGTTACCTTAAGTGAAGGTAAACACTTAAAATGAAAATAATAAATACTCGGCACTCCTCGCGTCGTATTCCTAGTCTGTCACGACCGACCCGTCCAAGCACAACTGCAACTGCGTACTGCCTGACCAGCCGACTAGCCGGCAATCTCGAGTACGAACGCAAAACGGGTAAACGTAAATTCGTCCAGCAACTTGCTATGTTACTAGTAGCCTGGTCTTCTCTGTATATAGAGAAAATAGTCATATATGTGTTATTGATATGTTCATATTGCAGGGTTCGGACATATCCAGTTTCTGAAGAAAGAGCTGAAAAGTAAGAATTCGCTTTTTGAAATGCTTCTGAAAACAAAACAAAACTCGCTATTTAATCTAATGTCGTGTGAGCTTAAAAATAATTCTATTGCTTCCTCTTAATTGTGATTTGAGGCAGATTTTGCAAAGAACATTATCATCGTTTTACTATGCTTTGAGATATTCCAAAATTCACTAATGTTTATTATATCGTTTGAAGTTTTATTTCCGTATTTGGCTCGTGCCATATCAAATTGGTCAGTATATCCGCTGGTTGTATAGCTATGGGTTCTACAGGTCTAGAAGACGATAACAGCTAGACTAAAAGGATAGCAGCAAACCAAACTGATAATGCGCGTTTGCATAACATATTTTGCAGCCTCATCTGACATTCTCACTGAAGCAGTTTGACTGATTAATTGTTAATGAAAGCTGGAAAACAGCACTTGTGTTCGCTCCATTTTGCTAGTGGAATACGTTCGGTTGGTTTAAGACATTCCCTCATTGATCTCATAAAGAGAAAATGGTCCAAATAAGTACACCCAGATGTTGATAATATTTTTTATATCTTTATATCTTCGTCCCTAACATACAGGGTGAGTTTCCTACGATGTTCTCTATGGAGATCTCGGAAACTACTAGAGATATAGAGTAGGTTAAAGAGGGAAAGAATTGCAGTTTTGTGGGGTCATAAATACGCGCCTTTCAGATTTTTAAAAATGTTCATGGCTTACTAGATATTTCGAAAAAAATAAATTTTGGCTATTTTAAAAATTGTTCCTAATTGCATTATAATCTATTTTAGACAAAAAGTTGTAGATAATCACATCCCTAATGAGTTTGTGTTCTCCGATTTTTTCTAAAACCTGTCATTTTTTCTAAAACCTGTCAACCTGACACAAACATATGTTTTTTTTAATGGAAACCCTAGTTGGCCATGACTTCATAAAAAGCGTATTTTTTAAGATATTCAGCGATATATATATGTCTTTATAGACAAATTACTGAGTTACAGTCAATTCCCATCTTTTTGGATAATTTCACTTAGTTGGTATGGTACTCTTATTCTATTATGTTTTCTAGCTTAAAAACAGAGAGAATAATTTATTAAACGGTTCTTTCCAATTTAGATTAAACAAATTAAAACTTAAGAAGCTGACATCACTACATATTTACATATACTTTAAGTTATTTTAAGAAATGTTCCATTGTTTTGCAATTGGTCCATCTCTTCCTATTCCTGAGTTCAACTTAGTAATTTTTCAAAAAATACATATTATGGCTAATATTAAGCCATAAACTTTTTCAAAAATCCGAATGGCGCATACGTTTGTCCTCACAAAACTGAAATTCTTGTCCCATTTGACCGATTCTCTAGCTCCAGTAGATTCCAAGATACCCATAGACAACATCGTAGAAAACTCACCCTGTATATAACATATTCAGCTCAATTTTAAAGAAATCTTTTTGAATATTTACATCCAATCTTTACTTTCAATGTCTCTTTTTACACATAATTCAAGTTTCACTAAAGGGTCTTCGTATTTTTATGTTTGTAAACAAATGTAAACCTTCTGATTTTCTGGTATATTTTGAAATAAACTTCCAAACCTCTTTATTACGGCGAATCAACATGTAGAGTTTATTTTGAATAGTGTCCAGTATTGATTTATTGATACATCTGTAAAGTATTCATGTAATTGGAAATGTCAGTAAGAATTTCAAACAGGCAAACCTAGAAACCCAATATATTATGCATTTATAAATAATCATACTGATGAAAATAACTAATACAATACAATTAGATTTTATATCGATAAATTTCAAACAAGATAGAAGAAGATATTATAAGCTTCTCTGTTACCAAACCGGATATCGAAGCTAATTGAATAGGAAGTGCCTAGAACAGATGTGACGTAGTACTGAAGCACATTGTTTCATGTCTACAATGCTTAATTACTTTGCGGGGTCTATTGAACTTGGAACAGGAGGATTAGGTTTTTCTATAAAACAATTTAATACTTAAAAAATATATTAGGTTTATATATATATATTTTAATAGAGGTAATTTCGAAAAATTGATAAAACAATACCCATTAATGATTTGATTATTTAGTAAAATTATTAAAATAAATAAATAATTGTTTGGCTGTTGTTTATATTTTTGATTGTTGTATCATTTCCTGTTTACATTTTTAAATTTTACATCTAACCCTGTTTCTCACCAATATCTCACATACAGGATGAGTCGTAAGTAAGTACAAATATTTTAAGGGCTGGTAGATCTAGATAAAAGAAACATAGGTATTTTCTCTTTACCGTTTTTCAATACTTACCGAAATATACTGCCCCTGAAAATATTTGCACTTATTTAAGACTCACCCTGTATATGGGATTTTGAGTGATCTACTCTTACCCCGTAACTTTAAATGCATTTTTACCTTGATTTGACTTATAATTTAAATATCGATCAGTTTTTAACTGTTAATTTTTGATAAAAATCAAAATTAAGGGCAAATGCGAATTGAAGCCAATATACCAAAAATGACAAACGGTTATGAATCTGAAATTGCAATATAAATTCTATGGTTCATTTGTGAAAATTGATATATATTCCAAAAAAATATATTTCAGCTACCATACAATAATTAATTAAATACATTTCCAAATATATTGCTTTTTAAGCTTTGTTACTAGGGATATTCTGTTAATAATTATATTAGGATTTAACTGAAATTCTGGTTAAAATGTACACATTTTCTCTTTATTTAGTTTAATTTACTTTTCTCTAGAATACAGATCAATTGGTGAGATTTTTGTTGTTTCAGATTTTCTGTTGTTAACAAAATATAAGATATTATTGACATTAAAATAGCTGTAAAAAATTCTGCCTGTTTTCTTACTACTGAAAGTAGACGTTTTTTGTTTATACCGGCTGTTTTTTAAAATCGGCTCACTCTTATCACCTTTTTTCAGATAATAAAACGAAATTTGGTGTGTTAATATATGACATAAATCGGGATTGATTAATGTATTCAATTACTTTCAGTCACTAGCTGTTGAAGTCATTTGGGGTAAAAATGACTACAAAGTTTGACTTTTCAATGGTACTTCCGGTATTTTTTTACTTTGTACGGCATTCTGAATTGAATGTCGTTATGATGCCGAATAATTCCGCTATTCATTAATTGTCGCAATAATTGAATAATTATGTATTATTGAATTAAATTATTTAATAATTATTATTCTTTTTCAATATGACAAGCCGGTTTTGGTGATTATTGTGAACTATATGCTACCATGAACTGCCCATCACGTTCGACGTTTGGCAAATGCTTGGCAGGGGGGTTAGAGATCGTGAAGCAGTACCAGCTTCATTAAATGAACTTCGCTTGGTCCTTAAAGAAGAATCGGAAAACATAACGCAACATAATAAACAGGGTGGCCCATCGAAAACGTTCCGGCCAGAGTATTTTTTTTTTTCAAAAAATCCCAAAACACATCAATTTTGTTTGTGAGGGGGACAACTTTTGCCCCAAAGATTATTGCAAAATCTTCAACCCTCTAAGCGGGGGTGTCATCCCCCGAATTTTTTCAAATGGGAAGGGGGGTCAAGTGGTACCGCAGTGAAAAGAGCTTTCTATTCTCTATACTTTCCTGCTTCGTTTTTGAAGATCGGTCCAGTCGTTGCGAAAATATGAAGGATTGAAATTTGAAAAGTTTTTTAAACATTTATCAGAGTAAATGATAAGGATAAATTCCTTCGACCAATTTGCTGTTTTTTCTTATTATTTCTAGATGTTTGCAATCGGGTTGCGCAGGTATTCAATGAACGCCATCCTGACAAACACCTTTATGGCAAAATTGTTCGCCAGTTAGTAGCAAAATTCCGCGAAACTGGTTCCGTTATGAATAAAAAGAGGCAGAGGGAAAATCCTGTAGTAAATGAAGCTATGGAGGTATTCGTATTGGGCCAAGTTGCCATGGACCGTATTCTGAGTACAAGAAAATTAGCCAATGAGACCGGCGGGAATCGTACATGTTTCCAAAGGATATTAAAACAACACAAGTTCCACCCGTACAAAATTCAGTTGGTACAAGAACTCAACGAAGACGATTTTGATCGTTGCTTTCAATTTTGTGAAACTATGAGTGAACGAGTTGCGAATGATAATAATTTCCTATTTAATGTGTGTTTTTTCGGATGAGTGTACTTTCTTTTTGAACGGTGTAGTTAATCGGCACAACTGTCGGTATTGGGCTGAGGAAAACCCCAGGGGTTTTCACGAGGTACACACACAAAACCCTCAGAAATTGAACGTGTGGGCTGGTATTTTTGGAAATTCTATTGGGGTCAGTTTAACGATATTGGGAAGAACTTCAACGTACAAGTCACAGAACAGCTATCTAGCAACTACCGCACCTGATCGTTCAACGTTGTGGCAAGTGAAAAAATGCGTAAACATCTAGAAATAATAAGAAAAAATAGCAAATTAGTCGAATTTATCCGTAATTATCATTTACTCTGATAAATGTTTAAATAAACTTTTCAAATTTCAATCCTTCATATTTTCTCACTGACTCGACCGATTTTCAAAAACGAAGCGGAGAAATATAGAGAATAGAAAGCTCTTTTCATTGCGGCGCCACTTGACCCCCCCCCCCTTTTCATTTGAAAAAAGTTGGGGGATGACACCCCCGCTTAGAGGGTTGAATATTTTGCAATCATTTTTGTGCCAAAAGTTGTCTCCCTCACAAACAAAATTGACGTGTTTTTGGATTTTTTGAAAAAATAAATATCCTGACCGTTATGCCCTGCGGAACGTTTTCGATGGGCCACCCTGTATATGCAGCTTCAATGACAGTATGAACGGACGTATACAGGCAGTTATAGCAGCCTAGGGCGGCAATACTAAGTGTTAGGGTATTTTTTACAATTTTTTGTCTGTTTGTATACTTGAGTATTACTGATGTTTTCTTTAATATCAGTAGTCCTGTTATCGTTATTAATGTTTATTAAAA